AACCTCAACAGAATGCAGAAGGCACTGGACGGCCGTTTCATCCTATATTTGGGACTGCATCAGCAGTGTATATCCACTACCGGGAATTGAAACCCGGACAGTTACGTTATCAGACAAACGTCATACCAACTGTCCCAACGGGCCTCGGTAACAGGGAGGTAGCGAATTAGACTCGATATAGCGCCGCTCGATCATATATTCCGTGGTGGAACTCATCAGAGTTTCTCTTTTACCCATAGGGCGCTGCCCCCCCCAGGAGCCATGACTACTATCCCCAAGCCGCTCCATCCAGAGTATTAGAAGCCGGTTCAAGCAAGGATATACAAGTGATAGAAATTAGGAGGATTTGAGAAAATTATAATTAAGTCATTCATCGAGTCTAGAAGAAACCTCAAAAGAATGCAGAAAGGACTGAACGGCCGTTTCGTTCTATATTTGGGACTCATCCGAGAATTGAAACCCGGACAGTTGCGTTATCAGATAAACGTCATACCAACTGTACCAACAGGCCTCAGTGACGAAGAGGTAATGAATCAGACTCGATATAGCGCCGCTCGCTCGCTCACATATTGCGTGGTGGAACTCATTCGAGTTTCTCTTTTAACCACAGGACTGTGCCTCCATATAGCTTTTCATTAGTCTTTAGGAATTCTAAATAAATCCCATCACATGTTTAATATTATGTTTCCAGGAAGCTTAGACAATGGTACCCCTGTTAATTTACTGCATTTTAAGCTGAACATTTTTGTATGTTATCAATTTCTCCTCACCTGTTTTGATATATTTAATGTACGGTGAGTTTGGACGATACACACGTCATTACAACTGTTACCCAAAAAACGGATATTAATTATTACTTAACCTAATAATATCATAAAATAAAACTGATGTTAGTTATGACAATGCCTTAACGTCGCCGTCGCCGTCGTCGTCATCCGTCCGTTTCGGGAGACGATGGAGTAGCACTGTAGGTGCTAGGCGATGAAGTACATCGCCTCTGGTAACTGTATAGTCCCATCTCCAGTGCGCTACGAGCCTCGGCGGGATGTATGGAGATCTAGGGCTGCCCGGACGTCTTAGTTCCTCCTCTCGGCCTTGGTAGCAGAGTCCAAAGGAGAGGATAAACCAATGGAGTTTGGTACCATCGCGACTGCAGAAGTTGCCGGAAGGTAGCACAGAGTGACGCCCATCCGCCTTAGGGGCTCCACTCCGGATTTGTGTAGGGTTTGCTCCTTAGCCTTTCCTTCTCCTGAAGATTTCCACAAGGCAGTGGAGCTATTTAACCCATAGCTGGGATTTGATTCATGGGCACCAGGGCGTGTCCACACACCGGTGGGCCTGCATGCCGCATGTTAAGGGGGGTCAAACTCCCCCCCGTTCCTTGTTGTTTAGCCCAAGTCTGCAAAGTGCTCGGTTGCCATGTGTCGCCACGAGGAGGCACTACATAGGGCTTGCTGATGGAGAGGCTATATACGACAGCAGCAATGCCTTAACGTAATACTTGTAATATTAATAGGTTTTAACCAGTTAGAATTTCACAGTATTCCTATTCGAATATTTTGATAAATCTTAATTATTATAACAATGAATCGTATGTTGAGTTCTCTGACAATAAAGAAACCGTAGAAATTTCCCTATTCTTAAATATTTGGTCTTAACAATTTTCACTTTATGAGGTTAAAATATTTGTCCAAATAAGATTTCTTTCTTTCTTTCTTTCTTTCTTTCTTTCTTTCTTTCTTTCCCTTTGTAAAGTATTTATATTTCTTTGTTTTTTTTTTCTTTTTTTCACTTCGTAAAGTTTTTATATATTCTTCCTTTCTCTCTCTCTCTCTCTCTCTCTCTCTCTCTCTCTGTCCTCTCTCTCTCTCTCTCTCTCTCTCTGTCCTCTCTCTCTGTCCCTCTCTCTCTCTGTCCCTCTCTCTCTCTCTCTCTCTGTCCCCCTCTCTCTCTCTCCCTCCCTCTCTCTCTGTCCCTCTCTCTCTCTCTCTCTCTGTCTCTCTCTCTGTCCCTCTCTCTGTCTCTCTCTTTCCCTCTCTCTCTCTCTGTCCCTCTCTCTCTCTCTCTCTCTCTCTCTCTCTCTCTCTCTCCCTCTCTCTCTCTGTCCCCTCTCTCTGTCCCTCTCTCTATCTCTCTCTCTGTCCCTCTCTCTCTTTCCCTCTCTCTCTGTCCCTCTCTCTCTCTCTCTCTCTCTCTCATGCACTTCGTCAAATAATTTTTCATCTCTTTTTTTCTTTGTTTGTTTGTTTCTTTCTTTCTTTTCATTTCGTTTCTTTCTCTCTTCCTCCGAATTTGTATTTAGGTTTGGCACTTTATTTCCCATTTTCCTTTCTTTCTTTCTTTCTTTTTCGTCCTCTCCCTTTCAAAGTATTTCCCTTCTTCCTTTCTTGCTGTTTCTATCTTTTACTTTGTCCGTTCTGGTTAGTTCCCTTTTCGTTGTACTTTGTTTGTTTGTTTGTTTGTTTCTTTCTTTCTTTCTTTCTTTCTTTCTTTCTTTTGTTTCTTTTTTCGTTTCTTTCTTTCTTTCTTTTTCGTCCTCTCCCTTTCAAAGTATTTCCCTTCTTTCTTTCTTGCTCTCTCTATCTTTTACTTTGTCCGTTCTGGCTAGTTCCCTTTTCGTTGTACTTTCTTTCTTTCTTTCTTTTTTTTCTTTTATTCGTTCCATCTCGTCTTTTATATTCTCCTTTTCTCTGTCTCTTTCGTTCACTTGGCAATATATTTCTTCCTCGCTTTTCTTTTTTTCTTTCATACTTTCAGATCACCTTCTTTTTCTTTATTTTTTTTTCTCGTTGGCCTGTTCAACCTGAGAGAGTTATTAGTGACAGTCAATTTGATTTCCTTAAATATTTCTCTATCTTTGTTTAAATTATAATAGAATTTACTACTGATTATTCTAATAGCATTGCAATAATTAGCCCACATCGTTTTGATGTATGATATGACTAGGGAAAAAGTAAATTTATTTTATCTAAAAATTGTATCTTTAAATGTACAGCGTAAAATAAGTAATGTGCGTGCGTTTATTTTACATATGTCTCCCTGTGTCTTCTTAGAGGTCAATTTTTTTTGTTGCTATTTTGGAACTTCGAATGTTGATAAGCAAGGCAAAGTATATCGATTTGTTTTAATGTTAATTGGGAGAGAAATTATTGTTTTTTTATTGTTGCTTTATTTCTTAATTTTATATATTTACTTATTTATTTATTGTCAGTTTACAAATTAAAACTTTAAAACAACCAACCCCTAAATAGTGACACAAAATAACAAAAACAAAATTCTGAAAGATATACAAAGAAAAAATAACTTCCATGAAAAATAAGTGTTTTTTTTTGTTTTTTTTATTTCTTATTTCGTTTGTCATTTCTTTTTTTTATTTCTTGTTTCCCTTTTTCTTCATTTTCGTTGTTTTTTTCACTTTTCTTTATATTTTTGCTTAATATTATCTTTCTTTTTCGTTTTCTTTTTATCTTCATTTCTTCTTTTTTCTTCTTCTCCTACTTTCTTTTTCTTCTCTTATCGCCTTTTTCTTGTTCTCTTACCACATTTTCTTCTTTTACCACCTTTTCCTTATTTTACTACCTTTTTCTTCTCTTACCACCTTTTTCTTCTTCTTTTACCACCTTTTCTTCTCTTACCGCCATTTTTCTTCTCTTACCGCATTTTTCTTCTTCTCTTACCACCTTTTCTTCTCTTACCGCCATTTTTTCTTCTCTTACCGCTTTTTTCTTGTTCTCTTACCACATTTTCTTCTTTTACTGCCTTTTCCTTATTTTACTACCTTTTTTTTCTCTTACCACCTTTTTCTTCTTCTCTTATCACCTTTTCTTCTCTTACCGCTATTTTTCTTCCTTTATACACTTTTTCTTGTTCTCTTACCACATTTTCTTCTTTTACCGCCTTTTCATTATTTTACTGCCTTTTTCTTCTCTTACCACCTTTTTCTTCTTCTTTTACCACCTTTTCTTCTCTTACCGCCATTTTTCTTCTCTTACCGCTTTTTTCTTGTTCTCTTACCATATTTTCTTCTTTTACCGCCTTTTCCTTATTTTACTACCTTTTTCTTCTCTTACCACCTTTTTCTTCTTCTCTTATCACCTTTTCTTCTCTTACCACCTTTTTCTTCTTCTTTTACCACCTTTCCTATCTTACCGCCATTATTCCCTCTCTTACTGCTTTTTCATCTTCTCTTACCATCTTTTTCTTCTTCTTTTGCTGCCTTTTTACTTATTTTGCCGTCTTTTTCTCCTTCTCTTACAACATTTTTCTTCTTCTCCTACCTTCTTTTTCTTCTCTTATCGCTTTTTTCTTGTTCTCTTACCATATTTTCTTCTTTTACGCCTTTTTTCTTATTTTACTACTTTTTTTTTCACTTACCACCTTTTTCCTTTTCTCTTACCACCCTTTCTTCTTCACTTACCACCTTTTTCTTCTATTACCGCTATTTTTTCTTCTTATCTTACCACCTTTTTCTTCTTTTCTTACCACCCTTTCTTCTTCTCTTACCACCTTTTCTTCTCTTACCGCCATTTTTCTTCTCTTAACGCCTTTTGCTTCTTCTCTTACCGCCTCTTTCTTCCTACTTATTTGCGTTTTATTTACACTGTCTTCATGTTTTTCTTTACTTTTTATCTACATTCTTCTCTATTTTCCTCCCGCTTTCATTTCTTATTTCTATTTCTTTGTCCATTGATTTTTTCTTCCCTTTCATTTCTTTTTTTCCTTCTTCCAATTTCTTCTTTCTTTTTCATCTTCTGTTCTTTTTACCATCTTTCTCTTTCTTCCCCTTTTTCTTTAACGCTTCTTTTTTGTTTCTCCCTCTATTTTCGTTCTTTATTCCTTTTTTTTTCTCTTCCAATTTTCTCTCTAATAAACTCTACCATTTCTCCTCCCCAGACATTCCCACCCTCATGTTCTTGTACCCTTTCTATTATTTTTCTCTCTCTTCTTCATCTTCCTTGAAATTATCATTGTCATTAAAATTATGATTGCAAAAGTTTTATATGTTTCTCGTTTACTTTTTCATTTTTATTTCTTATTTCCTTCTTTTTCCAAATTTTCCTTATTTCTTATTTTTTTTTTTTTTTATTTTTTTTTTTTTTCTATTTTTTACCGTTGTTTACTTTTCATTTTTATTTTATATTTTTGCTCAATTCCATTTTTCTTTTTTGTTTTCTTTTTTTTCTTTCATTCCTTTTTTTTTTTTTTCGTCTTTTTTAGTCTTCGTTTTTTTTCTATTTTTCATTACCGTTTTTCTTTACTTACCATTTTTTTTTTCTTTTATACCTTTTTTTTTCTTAATTCCTTTTTTTTTTTTTTTTTTTCTTTTTCTCTTCATTCCTTTTTTCTTCTTCTCTTACCGTCTTTTTCGTCTTCCTTTTACGTTTTTTTTTTCTTCTTCTCTTTTTACCACCTTTTTTTTCTCTTACCACCCATTTCTTCTCCTTTTACAACCTTTTTTTTTTCCTTACCTTTCCTTTTACCACTAATTTTTTCTTTTCTCTTACCACCACCTTTTTTACCACCGTTTTCTTCTTCTTTACCACCTTTTTTCTTCCTCTTCTCGTTTTACCACCTTTTCCCTTTTGTTTTACCACCACCCTTTTCCTTCTTCTCTTACCACCTTTTTCTTCTTCTTTAACCGCCTTTTTCTTCTTCTCTTACCACCTTTTCCTTTTCTTTTACCACCTTTTTCTTCTTCTCTTACCACCTTTTCCTTCTTCTTTTACCACTTTTTTCCTCTCCTTTTACCACATTTTTTTTCTTCTCTTACCACCTTTTCCTCTTCTTTTACCACCTTTTTCTTCTTCTCTTACCACCCTTTTCCTCTTTTTTTACCACCTTTTTTCTTCTTCTCTTACCACCCTTTTCCTCTTCTCTTACCACCCTTTTCCTCTTCTTTTACCACCTTTTTCTTTTTCTCTTACCACCTTTTTCTTCTTCTCTTACCACCTTTTTCCTCTCCTTTTACCACCTTTTTTTTTTTTTCTCTTACCACATTTTTTCCTTTTCTTCTTTTTCCTCTCCTTTTTACTACCTTTTTCTTTTCTCCTCTCTTCTCTTTTTTCCTCTTCTTTTTTACCACCTTTTTTTCTTTTTCTTCTTTTTTTACCTTTTTTTTTTCTCTTACCACCGCCTTCTCTTACCTTTTTTCTCCCTTTTACCACCTTTTTCTTCTTCTCTTACCGCCTTTTTCTCCCTACATGTTTGCGTTTTATTTACACTGTTTTCATATTTTTCTTTGCTTTTTATCGACATTCTTCTTTTTTTTTTTTCATTCTCCGCATTCATTTTTTTCTTTCTATTTCTTTGTCCATTCATTTTTCTTCCCTTTCATTTCTTTTGTCCTTCTTCCAATTCTTCTTTCTTTTTCATCTTCTGTTCTTTTTCCCATCTTTCTTTTTTTTTTCCCCTTTTCATCTAACGCTTCCTTTTTTTTTCCACTTCAAAAGTTTCTCTCTAATAAACACTACCATCTCTCCTCCCCAGACATTCCCACCCTCGCGTTCCTGTACCCTTTCTATTATTTTTCACTGTCTTCTTCCTCTTCCTTGAAATTGTCATTAAAATTATGATTGCGAAGGTTGTATATGTTTCTCGATTTTAGCAGAATTTTAATTGTATTTTCTTTTTTTTTTCTTTTTACTGATTTTTTTTTTCATGAGTAATTGTAAATTAAAAAATGACATCAGTTCACCTCTTCACAAAGCGAGCAACATTAGGTTACCTCTGCCGCCAAATTTGATTTAAAAACAATTAAACCTTCCCTCTTCTCATTGTATACGTCCTGCATTCTCTTCATGACCCTTTACCCTAAATAAATAAACGCCATTTTAAAACATCTGGTATTGGAGTGCAATATACAGTACTTTGTTTTATGCTATCAGTACACCTATATATACGATCTTCTTTTATGTGCCATCTCTCTACGATCAATATCCTCCACGACTTCTTATTTTTTGACATCCATGGCTGATGTTAACCTCCAGGAAAGTTAACTTATTGCACCTTCTCAAACAATTATTTTCCACTGACATGACGTGGAAAGATTATGTTGAACCAACTGCTTGGTGCCCTGCTAAGAATTTTGGTTTAACGTGTCGTGATGGACAGATTTTCACACATTATGAAATAGACAAAGTCCGACAATTATTTTAAGACATTTTTATGTTTATACATTCTTTTTATAGATAAAAATATTTAAGTAAATGCTTTGTTTTTTAATAAAAACATTTACCGGCCTGAATGTCCGAGGAATTGTCATAGAAAACATGCGTCCTCCGACAGGAATCGAACCTGTATCCTATACGGAACCGTCATATACCCTGAAGTGCTTCCATCGATTTCGCCACAGAGGAGCGTTCGGTTAGCAAGGTGGATTTTATTATCTATAAATAAAGAAAGTATAAACATTAAAATATCTTAAAATAATTTTTTGTCCATTTCATAATGTGTGACGTCGTTTGTTTACATTTGGATACGCATCGAGCAGATATAAATGAACGTGCGAAAATCATGGAAAATTATAGTTTAAAAACAGTAAAATCGACCTTGCTAACCGAAACGCTCCTCTGTGGCGAAACCGGTAAAAGCACTTCAGGCTATATGACGGTTCCGTAAAGGATACAGGTTCGATTCCTGTCTGAGGACGCATATTTTCTATGACAATTTCTTGGACATCCAGGCCGGTAAATGTTGTTAATACTGTTTACTATAAACAGAGCATTTACTTAAATACTTGTATCTATAAAAAAGAATGTATAAACATAAAAATGTCTTAAAACAGATTTTCACGCCAGAATCTACACCCTTGTGAAAATTAATTGAAACAAAACAAATATTTCCTTTTGTTTCCGTAGTTTTCCAGTGAAACATGACCCATTGCACATTTTAGTACTTCTTATGTCCATTCTACGAAGTCGTTCCTTTCAGATTGACCACAGATTCTCGATTGGATTTAAATAAGAGTTTCCGTGCCAGTATAGCACACTGATTTGCTCACTGGTAAGGTTTGCCAGTGTGGTCGTGCTGCGTTACAATTTTCGCAGGATTCTTGGAGTAACATTCATTGCAGAGAATGGCCGTAGGACAACTAATCGACAGTCGCGACAATAGTGTCTAGGCGTGAAGAAAATCTGATGGAATCACGGAAGACGGAATATTGTTCAAGGCTAAACAAATTTCATCATACACCCCGAAAATAGACTGATATTACTGCACTCCACTGCAAATAATCTAATCTGAGCTAAAAATAGAAATTGATTACACCCTGTCACTCCAGTGGGTCTAAAACTGGCCCTATGGTGAAACAAAAGAAACTAAAGCGAGTGTTTCAATTAATTTGCACAAGGGTGTATCTTAGATATTTATAAATCTACCATTCATCCATATATTGAATATTGTTACCACAGTTGGTCAAGTACTTCGGATATATATTAAGGAATCTTGAAAAAATACCAAGAATCTGTTATTGGTCCTGATCTGGCATCTCGGCTTCAGTCACTTTCCCTTAGCTTCTCTGTGTATTTTGTTTGTAAATACTTTCATGGTAACTGCTTTGATGAACTTTTCTCTTTTTTTTTGTTTCTTATATATAAATTGTAAATTTTCATTAGACATTCATTTTTAAATGTTTTTTTTTTATTCTCCCCCTCCCAGGAAAATTGCATATAAGGAACTATTTAGAACTACATAGAGACTTTAAGGTATTACGGTAGCTGTAGTAAGAATGGTAAGTCAGAATGTGGTATGTCTGTGTCAGTAATCGTGGCAAGCAAAGATTAATTATAAGACAGATGAAGACCAGCCTTTCTCCAATCCCTCTGTCGGCTTTGTGATACATTTTGGATCTGTGAAATAAATATTACTTTCCTTTATGGGACAAATCCGACAAATTATACATATGTAAACTAGTTTGGACTTCATAGAAACTCTGAGGTATTGTGGGGACTGTAGTAAAAATGTTAAGTAAGAAAGTGTTGTTTTCGTGTAAGGAATACTATAGTATGTTTGGGTCAGTAATTGTGGTTAGTTAAGTTTCAAATAAGACAGATTTAACAATAGTCTTCCACTATCCCATCCTTTTAACCTTGTGCCAGATTTTTGTAGTATTCAAAATAGATATTACTTTTCTATTTGGTACCGAGACGTTATTAATTTAAGCGCAGTACTAGATTGGAGGTAAGGTCTCTTTCTTTTACAGTTGAAATAGCTGTATGCTAACAGTTTCTTTTCATGCACTTTTCGCTTATGGAACTCTCTTTCGGCTTCTTGATTTCCAGTCAAATTTAGATTTTCAAATTTTGAATATAATATGAATCGTTATCTTCTGTCTTCTTAATTCCAGTTCTTTCATTGCCCTCTCTCATTAATAGTAGTTTTTCTCATATTCTCTAACACTCAGTAACCCTTTGCATCCTAGTGGCTTTATTGCCTTTGATCTTCAAAAATTTAAATGCAATGTGAAACGTTATATTTTGTCTTCTTAATTCCAGTTCTTTTATTGTCCTCTCTCATTAATCGTAGTTTTTCTCATATTCTCTAACACTCAGTAACCCTTTGCATCCTAGTGGCTTTATTGCCTTTGATCTTCAAAAATTTAAATGCATTGTCAATCGTTATCTTCTGTCTTCTTAATTCCAGTTCTTTTATTGTCCTCTCTCATTAATAGTAGTTTTTCTCATATTCTCTAACACTCATTAACCCCTTGTATCCTAGTGGCTTTATTGCCTTTGATCTTCAAAAATTCAAATGCAATGTCAATCGTTATCTTCTATCTTCTTAATTCCAGTTCTTTCTCCTTAATTATCATTTTTAGATATTCTTTCACACTCAATAATCATTTGCGTCATAGTGGCTTTATTACCTTGGGATTAAATGAATATTAAAACAAAATGAAATATTAAGCAAATTAGCCTCCTTACGATACCGCCATGTCCATAATCTACTAACCATGATGTATTCAGTGACATCTTTAAAGATATTTCTTTGCTTTTTTTTTTTTGACATGTAGCAGCAAAATACATTTTTTGAATGTCATATCTTTCGACAGTGAGTTTATATATATATATATATATATATATATATATATATATATATATATATATATTATAAGAGATTATAATAAAAACTTTTTGAAATCTCTACACAAAAGCTTTCATGTTTCAATACAATGAATTTACTTCTTCAGACGGTTGGAGGGTAACTGGTGATACAATCTTTTATAATAAAAATATAATATATTGCAATAATATATTGAGCAATTTTTGAAATGTAAATGCTACGAACAGTGTATTTTTACTCCATCTGTTTTTTTTTTTCTCATTTGGATATATATATATATATATATATATATATATGTGAAAATATATAGAAAATAGGAAGGAACTGGTTAGGTAAATAGTCCAAAGTTCCTTAGTATTTTTGTTATTATTTTTAAAAAATAGTGCTCGATACAAAAGTAGCATAAATAAATTATTTATTTAAAAATATGATTCCAAATCGCTACATAAGAGGTCTCATGTTTCAAAACAAAAGTCGAAAACTTCAATATAATCCTTTAAAATTAAATTGAGTTGAAATTTCAATTTTTAAAACAAGTAAATTTCAGATATACGTTATTCCAACAAAAATTTCGCTTGAAGATGGAATGGAGCCCTTTTTAATTTCAACTCAATTTAATTTAAAGGATTATATATATATATTCTTTATACGAAGTAACATGTTAGTACTGAAACGTGAAAGTTTTTGCGTAGAGCTGCAAAATTCTCCAAATCGTGTAACGGCATGGGTTAATATTTCGGTCTCTCACGTGACATCACGTCTATTATATATATATATATATATATATATCAGGTATAGAACTCAAATTGTGTGACAGTATGGGATAATTTTCCATCCCACAAAAAAGTTTAACCATCATTTGGTGTCAGCCCCACCATGTCTTCCCAATTGAGCAATAGTAAGAGGAAAAAGATCATTCAGGCCTTCAGTAATGGCACCAACAGTAATATTCTGGTTTCCATCTTCAAAGTCCATTCAAGAACCATCAATAGAACGGTGAATAAGTTTTTAAAAAAAGGGGGAACAATAAGGAGGAAGTTTATTAACTTTTGTTGTATCAGTTATTAGTTAATAAAATGAACATGCAACCACCCCTTGTCTGGATGAATGGATTTCTCTGTATCCTTGGAAACGTGAATTAAGATTTTTGCCGTGCCTTTAAAACCCAGTAAATTTAAAAATAAGTTACTCCAAAATTCGCTTGAAGATGAAATGGGACTAATGTCTTTAATTTAATTACAAAATTAAATTCTAAGCGTTTAACTTCCATTTTTGAAACATGGTTAGAACTGTGTAGCGAAAAAACATATTTTAAATCAGTTAATTTATAATATTAATGCTCTGTAAATTTACATTGAGCACTATTTTGAAAAATAAAATATCTATGAGAACACCGGATTATATATCATACTGTTCTTTATATTTATATATATATATATATATATATATATATATATATATATAATCACTTTAGACGTTATTTTAGTGGATATCCGTATTTGGTAGACGCTCTGTTTATTTATAGGACAGTATAATTATTTATATTTTGAAAAATAAAAAATATCCATAAGAACACCGGATTATATATCTTACTGTTCTTTTCTTTCATATATATATATATATATATATTTATATATATATATATATATATATATATATATATATATATATATATATATATATATATATATGTATATATATATATATGTATACACACACACACACACACACACATATATATATATATATATATATATATATATAATCACTTTAGACGTTATTTTTAGTGGATATCCGTATTTGGTAGACGCTCTGTTTATTTATCGAACAGTATAATTGTTTTTGCCTACCGCCCATTATATTCCAGAAGTCTTAATAATCTGTACTCTAGTGAGTGAAGAGCGTATATTTTTTCTTCAATAATATTTCTCAAATATCCAGAGCTAGCAGACTAAAATAAATAAATATACTGTTTAATAAATAAAATGATCATCTACCCAATTACGAGTATTCATAAAAGATAATAAAGATTAATAAAAAAATCCATTACTTTCTCTAGAATAAAGACACGCGCAAGCGCACACACACACATATATATATATATATATATATATATATATATATATATATATATATATATATATATTGTTAAATATAACAGACTCTGAAGATGGCTCATATGAGCCGAAAGCTTAGGATCAACTTAATAATATCTATTATGTCTGTTATATTTAAATATATAAGTTTAAGTAATGATCTGCTGCCTCAATCTCTTCGCAGATGCGAATTGAGTCACTGTCGGTCACTGGGCGTGTTTTCTAAAAAAAATACGCTAAAATCCACTTTCATCCCTACCGTGCGCCGACTGCTTAATGGTTAGAATCTCCGACTGACACTAATTCAGTCGGGTTTCGATCCTAGCTAGAGGCAACCGGATGTCT